ATTGTGACACTTGTTGTTACTGTTTTTGGCATATTGTTACTGTTGTTGTTACTGTGCAAGGCAAACGCCCTACCAGCTGTGCTATCCCTCCAGCAATCACTTCACTTCACTTGATCACTTGACATCCTGTTACTCTGTTACTCGTCAATTTGCTCGAATGGGTGCCAGTAACATCTCCATTCATCCCTGTCGCGTGCTGTGCTAGTGTAGTCCAATGGTGTCTGCTCGTTCTAGGAACACGAAGAGCCTCAAACCGATCGTTGAGGGTCTTGACGAAGAAGTCTGACCATCTTGAAGGTGGGCGGCCACGTGGTCTTTGGACGTCCCATGGAATCCAGTCGGTAACGGCTCTAGTCCAGCGGTCATCTCCAAATCTCATTACGTGTCCAGCCCATCTGATTTTCGACGCCTTGGCAAACGAGACAGCATCCCTGATTCTTGATCGTCTATGAGGTCGGAACTCCGGATTCTTTCTCTCATTTGAGTGAAACGTGATACTCCAAGCATAGCTCTTTCGATTCCTCTTTGGGAGACCCGAATAGCATAGCATTCACATCCTGTTTTTGTAGGGCCCAGGTCTCTGAGGCATATGTTAATGCAGGAAGAACAGTGGAATCGAAGAGATGTGCCCGGAGCCAGAGGTTCTTCGTCCTCTTAGCTATTTCTTCGATGCTCTTGAAGACGTTCCAAGCCACTCTCTTCCTCCTGCGCAACTCAGGTGCCAGGTCATTCATCATGTTGACTTCCCAACCTAGGTACACATAACTGTTGCATTCGGAGATGGTCGTTCCGTTGAGAGCGAATGGAACATCAGGAACGAGACTGTTTCTCATAAACATTGTCTTCGTGAGATTCAGCTGTAGTCCGACCTTTCCACATTCACCATCGAAGTCGGCTAGCATTTGTGCCGCTTGGCTAATGTTTGGTGTTATTAGAACGATGTCATCAGCAAAGTGGAGGTGGTGTAGTTGCCGACTGTCTATCTTCACTCCCATTCCTTCCCATTCCATTCGTCGCATGATGTTCTCAAGGGTGGCACTGAAGAGTTTCGGTGAAATGGTATCACCCTGTTGAATCCCTCTCTTGACATCGATGATCACTTCTTTGTAGAATGGTAGTGAATCTGTAATACAGCTCACGGAGGATCCTGATGTATTGAGTTTGAATGCCCTGATTGGCTAGGGCTTCGATGACCGCTTCCGTCTCAACAGAATCAAAGACCTTCTTTAAGTCAATGAACGTTAGACAGAGCAGCATCTTGAACCCCTGAGAAACCTCAGTGAGCTTGGTTATTGTGTGGATATGGTTGATCGTGCTGAATCCTTTGCGGAACTCGGCTTGCTCGCTTGGTTGTCCTTCATCTAGTGTTCTGCCAATCCTATTCAGGATGACTCGAGTGAATAGCTTGTAGATGACAGACAATCGGCAGATCGGGCGATAGTTACCAATGTCGTGGATGTCTCCCTTCTTCTATAGTAGTACAGTCCTGCTGGTTTTCCAATGGGACGAAACCTTGCATTCAGACAGGTAGTGTGTGAAGAGCTGAGCCAGTGTATTGATGAGTACTGACGGCAGGTTCTTATTAACACTCCAGCAATATATATAACTATATATATATATATAAAATGTGTGTATTTTGGGCCACACCTGGCAGTGTTCAGGGTTTATTTCTGGCTCTGTGCTCAGGAATCACTGTTGGTGGGATTGGGGTGCATATAGGTTATAGGTTTCTGGGGACCAAACCTGCGTTGGCTACATGCAAGGCAAGCACCCTACCCACTGTACTATCTCTCTGCCACCCCCCCCCCCCAGTTTTTGGGGCAGTGTCAGAGCTTGAACTCAGGGCTGCTATTTGTGGGGTGGATCTCTCCTCACCACACAGCCTTCCAGGAGTGATGTCTGTGAGAGAGTGTTGACTTCTAGGGGACAGTTTTTGTCATGACTTAGCCAGATCACAACAGGAGCCATGTTATCTGTGAAGCACAGTAAACTGGATCAGGAACGATGAGGTGCCCGGGAGTGGCAGCGTGGGTACCCTCTGTCTGGAGAAAGTTTTCTGCACCTTGCAACTGTTCCCCTGTCCCTGGCATGCTTAGGGGAGCCTGTACTTTTCATCTGCCCCAAGGGGATTTGAGGAAGTTTTTTTTTCCCCCCAGGGAACTTTGTGTGCAGACCTGGGGTATGTGAGGGGTGTCCTGGTTCCTGGAGATGACTTGGCTTTGGTATGATGTTCTGACTTCAAGGAATGACCAGTGGTTTGGAGTCAATGGGTTCAGTCATACCTTCAAAGCATTGGGGGGTCATGCAGCATGGTAGGTGGGGTTCACCTTGGGGAGAGAGGGAGTGGGTCAGTGAACACCAGGCTATGTGAGCTACCTGAGAATGTCCACATGGACTCCAGAGGGGCTGCAATCTCTGTGGACAGAGATAATTGTTCTTTTTGGGCCGCTCGCAGCTATGCTGGGGATTTCTCCAGGCTCTGTGCTCAGGAATGAGTCCTGGCGGGCTTGGGGGACCACATGGGGTGCCAGGGATTGAACCTGTCAGTTGCATGCTAGGCAAGCGCCCTCCCATTTATACTATCTCTCCAGCCTTCATTGGTGATTTCTTGGGTGCATTATTTCATGCCCCCTAGAGGGCATACTCTCCAGGGGCCAGTTTTGTGCTCGAGTCTCCTCTTTTCTGGAATGGTTCAGATTCTTCCAGGAGGCCTGCCCACCAGCCACGACTGTTTCATAGGAAGAGTGGGAGGGAGTCATCCACCCAGGGTGGGGTTCACCCTGTGCTTACGGTCACAGGTGGGGCAGGCAGGGTGACTGCAGATTCTACTCACGGGGAATGCAGTTGCCGCCGCTCAGGACTATCAGGCCTTATGACATTCCTCCCATTCTCCCAACAACAAGGTAAGGTAGAGGCTCTTAAGTCTTCCCATTTCACAGACAAGCAAACTGAGGCACTGAGAAGTTCTATTCCCTTGGCTGTCACAGATAGGAAGTAGTCAGGTTAGGGTCTCAACCCAGGTCTCTATCTTGCTGGGTGGAAGGTGGGGGTGGCTTAGCTGGTAACAGACCTATTCACTTTGCAACTATGCATTGTCTTGCTCCCAGGGGGAGCTGAACACTGTAAAGGAGGCCGTAGTGGAGGTTTGGAACCTGAGAGGTGGGGACTGGAATCCTCCTGTTTCCTGACTACTATGGGATAGGTCAGCTGATTTCCTCTCTCGCCACCCTCCCCCCCCCCCCCCCCCCAGCCTGGGAACCAACCCAGGGCTTCACACATATGAAGGCACAAGTTGTACCACTGAACACATCCCTGGCCCCCGCTTCATTTTCTTGATCTGTAAATGGGGGACAATAGTGGAATTCCCCCAATTGGGAATTTGGTGAGGATTAAAGGAGAAGATGGCTCAGACAATGGTTGGCCCTGTGCCTAGCACATCCTGAGCAGGCGAGACTTCAGGAGCTGTTAGGATAACAATGATGATGATGATGATTGTCGGACCACGCTGCTCCCAAAGGATTATGATAACCAAGGGGGAGCCACACTGCCCGCAGGCAAGGTTACATAATTCCCTGAGGGAGTGCCACTTCCCTAGGGCCTTGGTCTCCCCAAGGCACCCGCTTGGGGCAGGCCTATACCATTTAGGATCCCAGCAACAGAGGCAGGGTTTGCAGTCCCAGGAACCCAGAGCTTCTGCCCAGGGACTGGTGGTCTTCCCCTGCCCATCTCTAAATCTCTGGGCCCCCACACCCCCACTCCCCTCTTTAGGTACCTCCAAGGGTTCTTGCTTATTTCACTTTTGAGTCACACCCTGTAGTGCTCAGGGATCACTCCTGATGGTGCTGTGGGACCATACTAGGTTAGGTACTGAAGCTGGGTCAGCGTTATGCTGGGCAAGCCCCTTAACCCCTGTTCTATCGCTCTGGCTCTTAAGTGTTTTTGAGACTTGACTTCCAGACTTCACCAGTGAACCCTCCTTCTCTGGGCAGCTCTGGGCTCAGAATGTGGCTTCGGCAGGCCCTTGATCAGGGCTGATCTTACTTCCTGAAGCCTCAGGCTCTATCCAGCTCTCCAGTTCCAGAGAACAGACTTAGCCATGCCTCAGCCCTGCCTTCCTCTCCTGGCGACCACCCAGTGCCCCTTGGGAACACATTTGTTCAGACTTTGGTCGCCCCCTCGCATCCTGACCCCACCTCCGGAACCCCTGTCCTTGGTGGTGGAGGTGGGGTACCTCCGGCGCCAGACGCTCTCCCCAGGACAGCTGCAGCCTGGGGTGAGAGGGGGCGCTCCGAATGCATTCTCTCCGGTCACTTCCTCGCAGCTGGGCATGGGGCTATCAGGAAGGCCAAGACCCCATCCGCGGAGGCACGGAGGGCACAGCCACCTCCCCATATCCGATGCTGGGAAATGCTTCCCACACGTTCCAGCCCACCCCCGGACAGCTGCCCCCATTCAGGTTCGGGGTTGGAGAGGCAAGGGTAGGGCAGGCTGGGAAAGGCGGTCACCGGCTCCCTGCAGAGAAGGTTCAGCCTCCTTCCAAAAGGTTCAAGCCTTCCATCAGAAAGTTTCTGCCGCCTGCACACCCCCGCCCCCGCCGCCCCCGCCTGGGATTCCCTAAAAACCCCCAACCCCCCGCCCCAATCCCTTTCGCCTCTTCAGGCGCCCAAAAGAAATCCGGAATTCCGCAGTGGGCAGAAGAGGAGGGAAGGGGCGGCAGGTCGCGAGTGCCGGGGACTTAGGTTATCTGCAGACTTAGAGCCTCCAGAAGGGTCATGACCCCCAGGACCCCATCCCACCCCGCCCCCTCCTTCCTTCCTCCCCTGTCGCGCGGCCCCTTTAAGCTCAGAGCCGACCGGTCCTCAGTGGCTGCGAGCCGGCGACAGTGTGTGTGAGTGTGCGGGGAGGGGGCGGGCGCAGTGTCTCCATGGCGACGCGGCGGTGACGTCGCCGGCCGGGGGGCGTGGGCGTCCCGGCCCCGGAGTGCGATATTAACCCGGGAGGCGGCGGCGGGGAGGGGAGAGGCTCTGAGAGGCGAGGCCGGGTGAAGCGGCGAGGGCGGCCCGACGGGCGCGGGACGGGACGGGGCAGCGCGGGCGCCGGGAGCTGCGGCCCGGAGTCGGGGCGCCTCGCCCCGGGCCCCCCAGCATGAAGACCCCGGCGGACACAGGTGGGGGCGGGGGCAGCACGTGTGGGGGAGACTTGTTGCCCCGGGAAACCAGGCTGAGAAACTTTGGGGGGGGCTGAAGGTTGCCGGGGGAGCCTAAGTGATCCCCAGTTCCGGGGGACCCCCAGGCACTCGAGACCTGTTGCTTCTCGCGGCGCGAGCGAGGGGTGTTGCATGGGACCCCCAATTCCAGGCTCCGAGCGGAGTGGCGTGGGTGCTGCGAGTCCCGGTCCGCTCCCTGCTTGGATTCCCCCGAACTGGGCTCTCACCCACTCCCATGATCCACGGGGGTGGCGGGGTCCCTCCCCGCCGCTCTGTCACGTTGCACTCGGGGGACCGGGACGTGCGCGGGGTGTGGGGGGGGCTGTCCACGGGGCCCGCTATTCCCGGTTTCGCGCTGCGCGGTCCGGCCGGTGACCTTCACCGCGGCGCGTGTCCCGCACTGCTTCAGAGGGGGATACGGGCTGGCCTCTCGGAGGACGGCGTGAGTGGGGAGCCCCGGACTCGGGGTCCGGGCTGCGCCGCCCCTCCCCCGCCCGGCTTCTCGCTCCCCCGCCCGCGCCGAGTCGCAAAGTTCCAAAGCGCAGCCCGAACGTTCGAAAAAGGAACTTTTTGTTTCCGACCTTAGAACGCGCGGCTTTAAGGTGGCTCCGGGGAGACCTGGTTATCCTCCTCCCGCGCCGCCGGGGGCCCGGGGTGGAGGAGGGTGGGGAAGATGGGGGGGACGCGGAGGCTCCCCCCTCCCTCCCCAGCTCTTCTCTTTCAACGGGCCGTCTTTTCCCTCCGCCCCCTTCTTCCCCGCCAACTTGCTCCTCCTTAAGGGGCCAAGGTTCCCCTCCCCCCCACGCGGGTCGGCGGGCGGGGGGCAGCGGAATTAACCCCCTCCCACTCGGACTTTCCCCCCTCCCCTCCCCCGCTGCCCCCGGGCTCGCGCGGGCTGGACTTTGCGCCGGAGCGCGCCGGGGGGAGGGGTCCCAGCCGCCCCCTGCCCGTCTACCCCGTCGGAATCCGGCCCGGGGCGGGGACGGGGGAGGGGAAGGGGGCCGGGCGCCGCTGTTCAAACTTGTTTCCTTCCCCCGGCGGCGGCCGCGGCTGGGGCTCCTGTGTGCGGGTGTGTGCCCCGACCGGCCCACCCACCCCGCCCCCCCGCTCGGCGGGTGGGGGCGGCTCTTAAAGGGCTCCGAGCCGGGCTCCGGCGGCGCCTGGGGATCGGGGCCGAGGAGGGGGGGCTGGGGAGGTGGGGCCGGGGTGCGGAGTGCTGTAGGGTCAGTCACGTGCGTCCCACAGACTCTCCAGCTCCCACCGGCTCCGGGGCCGGGGGGCCTGGCGGGGTGGGCTGCGGGAGCCTCCCCTCGCCCGAGGAGGGGGCCGAGGCACCCAGACAACCCCGCCTCGTCTCCCCTCCCTCTACGGGTCTGTGCCTGGTGGGACCGGCTGGGCCGCTCCCCCAACCCTGTCTCGGGGCCGAGCCGGGTGTGGGTTCTCCGAGTGGGGGAATGGGCGGGGGGGGGGGCGCCTAGAACGGCCTCCGCGCCGGCTGTCTGTCCGTGTGTCCGTAGGCCAGACTGCTGGCCGGCCCCGCGCCCCTCCATCCGATTCTCCATCCCGGCCCGTCTCCTCGGCCGCGGCTGCTTCCCACTTCCTGTTTTCTTCCCGGCTCTGGCGCCACCGAGGGCTGCCTGGAGTGGGGGAGGTGGTGGGCCCCCCAGGAGGCCCGAGTGCTCTTCCTCCCATCACTCCTCCCTTCCGACCCCCCGGAGTCCCTGACAAAAAGTTTGGCCGGTCACGTGAATTTGGTGGGGTGCCCAGGACTTGGGCTGTTTCCCCCCACCCCCAGGTTTCCGCAGTCTGGGAGAATCCTGTCCTGGCCCTGCCCCCGTGGGAGCCAGGTGTGCCTGCTGGGATCCCCTTACCCCCCAAGCTAGCCCTTCCTGTCTGCTGCGCCTCTCCGCCCTGCCCTATCAGCTGCTCTCCCTGCTTCTCAGGCCCGCACCCCCTCCAAGCTCTCTTCTCTTGGTCCAGGCCTGGTGACTCCCGGTTTAAACACGTGGACCCATGCACAGCACACTCACACATGTTCCCTTTGCCCGTGCCTGGCTCCTGGCTTCAGGGCCTGGGGAACAGAGCCCCATTGAGACGCCCTGACGTCACTCCCTCCTTTTCCTTCTCCCCCCAAAGCCAGGAACAGGCCCTCGTGTATGCTGTGTCCGATGAGGGAAGCCTGCACTGGGGTGGCCCCGGGAGTGGGGAGGCTCCCTGCAGCGGTGGCCGCGGGGGACCTGGCCTCTGAGGGACTTGCTCGAGGAGGGGACATCTGAGGCCTGGGACAGCCCCCCGGAATGCTGCTCCAGGCCTGTGCGGAGCCCCCCACCTCCCTTCCAGTTCCCTTTGTGTTGCGCATAGTCGCTCTCACTCCTTCTCTTCTGCAAAGTTTATTTTTAGCCGCCTGCTCCCCCGCTCCCAGGACTGTCGCTGCACACACGTTGCCTGGTTACCGGGACAAGGAGGCTGGGGCGGGTGGGCTGGGAAGGCTGGCTTTAATTTGGGGGGGAGGGTGGAAGTCAGTCCACCCCCCCAACCCCAAACTGATGTCTCAGGGGCTGGGTCCCCCGCCCCTCCGGGACCTGAGAGGCAGATCGGGAGGTAGGTGGGAGGATCGCGGAGCTTACTGCTTTGAAGAGGACCAGGAGCTTTGGGAGGGGCCCTGAGGGTCCCTTGGCTTCCCGACCATCCCTGGACCCCAAAGCCCACCCTGAGGCCTCTGTTTTCTTGACAGGAGTCAGAGGGGGTGAACCTGCATTCCCAGGAGTGGAATGGGCCACATGGGTCCGTGGAAGGCGCTCTCCCCGGCTGTCACATCCAGGACAGTGCTGGGGAGCTGTTGTAATGTGGCATCCTGGGCCCATGTCCTGGAGCCCACAGGCTGCTCTGAGGCGGTGTGCAGGAGGCCACCAGGGGAGGCTGTCCTAGGCCAGGATGAGGGTGTCCCATCCTGGGCGCAGAGCCTGCTTTGGACTTAGAGGGCGCCGGTTTTCCCCATTGCCCTCGTCCCCAAGGGGACAGACCCATTCCCTGAATGCCAGAAGACCAGGTTGCTTCTGGGGTGAGGCGCAGGGGTACCCTCGCCCCTCTGCCCAAGACTGGGGACCCGCCTGGCTTGCTGACCAGTTCAGTCTTCTCCCTCTAGCGGCATCGTGCCCCTGCCCCGCTCCCCCTTCTCTTCCTCCCTCTCTCCTCCCACCCCTCCATTACCGGCTGCCTGGTGCTGAATTATTGATGGCCCCTGATTACCCGGGGGTTTGGGAAATGACAACAACCGCAGCCCCCTCATCCCCCCCCCCACCCGGCTGCCCACCCCCTCCCGGGACCAGCCAGCCCACCACCAACCTCTACCCAAGGTTAATGCTGGGGCGGGCAGGCAGGTGGGTCTGGAGGAAGCTGAGCTTGAGAAGACAGAAGGGTGGGAGGCAGGGTGACAAGAGTCGGGGGGCCTGTTGAGCCTCACCTCGAGGTGGGGCCGGGGTGCCTGGGCCTGGGGAGCCCAAAGGGTCCAGAGCTGCAGGGGGGCGGAGTGGGGGCTCTCAGACAGTCTGGGTTTCACTCTCCAGGGAAGACAGAAGCTTCTGTGTGTGCAGGCGCTGACCTCATCCGCAACCAGCCACCCCACCCCTCCTGGTCCTTTTAAGAAAAAAAAAAAAAGCTCTCGGGTCGGTCTTGGGGTGGGGGTGAAGGCTCTGTGAGCCTCTGGAGAGAGCTGGTTTCAGGCTCATGCTCTGAGGAAGGGGATCAGAGAAACTGAAGGGGCGGGTGGCTGGCCCTGAGTGCTATTGGGGAGCCTGGGGAGTCACCCCAACTGGCCACACGTGCCCCTTCCTGCCCCTCCCCCCACTGGCAGCCCTGCCCGTCGGCCTGGCTTGGTGCCTGGCCCCCTGGCACTGGCCCCGGGACCCGCCGCCGACGGTTTCCTGTTTCTCCTGGTGTCCCTGGAGCCGGCTCCAGCTTCCCCTCCCCCCTGCTCCTGTCTAGCCCCCCTCACACACACAGACACCCACTGTCTTCCTCTCACCCAGGTCCTGACTTGGCAGAGGGGAGACGGATTTCCCTCTGGGGAAGGGTGGGGTAGGGAGTGGACCCTGTGATGGGGATCCAGGGATACCCCCCCCCACCCTGCCAGCCAGTTTGGGCATCCTGACCCCGGCCGCTCCCCGGCCTCCTCTGCCCCCCAGGCTTCGCCTTCCCCGACTGGGCCTATAAGCCCGAGTCCTCGCCGGGCTCCAGGCAGATCCAGCTGTGGCACTTTATCCTGGAGCTGCTGCGCAAGGAGGAGTACCAGGGGGTCATCGCCTGGCAGGGGGACTACGGGGAGTTCGTCATCAAGGACCCGGATGAGGTGGCTCGGCTCTGGGGCGTCCGCAAGTGCAAGCCCCAGATGAACTACGACAAGCTGAGCCGGGCCCTGCGGTGAGCAGGGCAGAGGCCCCCTGGGCAGATGTGGGTGGCCCCAATGGCCGGTGCTGGGCTGCATGTGGACCCCCTGACCCATGGAGCTCCTGAGCCTGACTCCTGGTTCTGCTGTCGCCCCTTTCTGAGCCTGTTGATCACATGGCAGCCATGTTGCGAAGAAGGGAAGGGAGGAGAGAAGTCGGTCCTGGCGAGCCTCCAGCCTGATCTCTAGCATGCGGGGTCCCTGATACCTCATGCGGGCCCACCAGTTTGGGGAGCCATGCTGCCTGTCCATCTGGTCTGGAGGCGGGGTCACTCGTGTCCCAGGTGACTGATGATCTCTCCATGTCCCCTTGTGCCTGCAGCTATTACTATAACAAACGCATCCTGCACAAGACCAAGGGCAAACGGTTCACCTACAAGTTCAACTTCAACAAACTGGTGCTGGTCAATTACCCCTTCATCGATGTGGGTTTGGCTGGTGAGTGGCCAGGGGGTGGGCCCAGCGGGGGGTGAAGGGGACCTGGATGTCCTGGGGAGGTGGAGGGTCTTGACCCAAGTCTCCCCCTCCTACCAGGCGGGGCGGTGCCCCAGAGTGCCCCACCTGTGCCCACGGGTGGCAGCCACTTCCGCTTCCCTCCCTCGACACCCTCCGAGGTGCTCTCCCCGACTGAGGACCCCCGCTCACCCCCTGCCTGCTCGTCATCCTCCTCGTCCCTCTTCTCGGCTGTGGTGGCGCGCCGCCTGGGCCGGGGCTCGGTCAGCGACTGCAGCGATGGCACTTCAGAACTGGAGGAGCCCTTGGGAGAGGACCCCCGGGCCCGCCCGCCAGGCCCCCCGGAACTGGGTGCCTTCCGAGGGCCTCCGCTGGCCCGCTTGCCCCATGACCCTGGCATCTTCCGCGTCTACCCCCGACCCCGGGGGGGTCCCGAGCCCCTCAGCCCCTTCCCTGTCTCGCCCCTGGCCGGGCCTGGCTCCTTGCTGCCCCCGCAGCTCTCGCCAGCTCTACCCATGACGCCCACCCACCTGGCCTACACCCCCTCGCCCACGCTGAGCCCCATGTACCCCAGCGGTGGTGGCGGCCCCAGTGGCTCAGGGGGGGGCTCCCACTTCTCCTTCAGCCCCGAGGACATGAAGCGGTACCTGCAGGCCCACACCCAAAGCGTCTACAACTACCACCTCAGCCCCCGCGCCTTCCTGCACTACCCGGGGCTGGTGGTGCCCCAGCCCCAGCGCCCTGACAAGTGCCCACTGCCGCCCCTGGCCCCAGACACCCCGCCGGTCCCTTCCTCGGCCTCCTCCTCTTCCTCCTCCTCTTCCTCCCCCTTCAAGTTTAAGCTGCAGCCGCCCCCATTGGGACGCCGGCAGCGGGCATCTGGGGAGAAGGCCCCAGCAAGCGCTGACAAAAGTGGGGGCAGCGGCTCAGGCGGGATGGCTGAGGGTGGGGGCACCCTGGCCCCACCGCCGCCTCCGCAGATCAAGGTGGAGCCTATCTCCGAAGGCGAGTCGGAGGAGGTGGAGGTGACTGACATCAGTGACGAGGACGAAGAGGACGGGGAGGTGTTCAAGACGCCCCGCGCCCCGCCTGCGCCCACAAAGCCGGAGCCCGGGGAGGCCCCTGGAGCTGCACAGTGCATGCCCCTCAAGCTGCGCTTTAAGCGGCGCTGGAGCGAAGACTGTCGCCTGGAGGGGGGCGGGGGCCCGGCCGGGGGCCTTGAGGATGAGGGCGAGGACAAGAAGGTGCGTGGGGAGGGGCCCGGGGAGACCGGGGGGCCCCTCACCCCAAGGCGAGTGAGCTCCGACCTCCAGCACGCTACAGCCCAGCTCTCTCTGGAGCATCGAGATTCCTGAGGGCTGTGGGCCAGGGGACCCCTGTTACACCCCTCCCCATGCTTCTTTTGCTGCCTTAACCCCCCCAATATCCCTGAGGTGAGGGCAGCCCTCTAGCCTCCTCCCTGCCCCCTCCTTTCCCATTCCCCCTTGTTTTGTATACAACTTTTCATTTTTTTTTTAAATGGTGTGGGTGGGTGGGTGCCCTGGGACAGGGGGGCTGTCTCTGTCCCTGGGTTTCTAAGCTCGGGGCAAAGTGGTGGTGGGGGGGGGAGGGGGGAGGGGGGAGATAAAGGGGCCCCCTCCATTCTGGGGAATTTATATTGAACCGAGGCTCTGGCCTCAATGCCCAGGAACTTTTTTAATTACAATCTCTTAGGAAGTAAAGCCTTGTTCCCCCTTCTTGGTCCTCTGCCTCCTGCCCCCACACCCTACACCCCTCCCCAGTTCTTCCCTGTCCATCATCACCCTACTGCCCTTAGCCCCAATCCTGCCTTCCCCTGCCCCTCCAGGGGCCATGAGTGCCTGGGTTTCTCATATCCCACAAGGTCACAGCAGGGGAGGGGGGACATTTTATGATGAACCAAAAATTCCGTGGGGGGGGTTGGAGGAGGGGGAGGGTGCCACCCGGAGGCCACAAGTCTACAAGTGCCTGCTATCCCTCCCCCACTCCCAGCCCAGTGCGACCCCATCACCCCCAGCTGCTCCTAGGACTTAGCCCATAGACAGGCGGGTGGGGCGGTGGGGAGGGGGTACCCTGAAACCAAACTGGAAGCCCCCTCTGCCTCCCAGCTGGGGCCCCTGGGGTGGGGGTCTGTGGTCAAGCCTTATTCTGTATGGGGGATGGAGGGAGGGGTGGGAGTCGGGAGACTGCTGGAGAATGTATTCGAAACAATAAAAACTTTGGACCTTTGGGTGTTGCAGCCATTATAGGGGTGGGGTGGGCGAGGTCAGGGATAGCCTGGCCACCACTGGCTTCATGGCCTGAGGGCCCTGCCGAAGGGGTCAGATCTAGACCTGAGGACAGACTGGAGCCAGGGACACAACCCTCAGGGCCCCTAAATGTGGGCTCTCAGGCCTGCCTCGCCCCTCCTGGGGGATCTGCCGTCCTTGGAAGCACTCTCCTCGCCCGGCACCACTGTGCAGCCAAAGCCCTTGCTCTTCCAATTCCCTGAAATGCTTTCCCTCCCTGGCTGTGAATTCCCGGTCCTGAAAGTCACTTGCCATGGCTCTCTTTAGGGCTCTTTGGAATTAATGGGGCCTTGGTGCAGAGATGGTGCAGAGACCTTCACATGTTGGCTGGACCTAGAGGCCACCGACATGAGAAGGGGCTGGCTCAAGTGGGATCTGGAGAGGAGGGCTACGTGGCATACAGCCAACCAGGTCTGTGGGCCCCAAACAAAAAGTTCACCTACTGGGTGTCAGGCACTCAGGACTTGTAGGTGGTGGCGGACTTGTAGGTGGTGGCGTGCATTTGTTCCCGTCGCCATCCAGCAAGGGAGGAGCAGGCAGCTTGGTTCGATTCCTTCCACGGCCCAGAGCATTGTTGGGGAGACAGGGCATGTGGTGCCAGGGATCAAACCCAGACAAAGCAGGTGCGTTTCCACTTGAGCTATTCTTTGGCCTAAGCCCTTCACATGAAGCCTCTCTCTGAAGCCCACGTTCTTTCAACGACTCTAGAGTTTTCCTCCTCAAGCCAAGAGCATTGGCTATAAACCAGGATCTCGAGATTGTAGTCTGAGAGAAGAGCTCCTAAAGTTAGCAGCAGAGCTTGGAGATCACAAATCAGGAGTGAGAGCAACAGGAGGAATCCGGACCGCCTGTGGTGGTAGAGATAGCCCAACCCTTCTAGGGCAGGTGAGATGCCTGAGACCCTAAGAGGAGGAGTTTCTCCAAGGCTATACAGCAGCTTGGGCAGAGGAATGGGAATTTGGGGGCTCAGGGCATGTTGGATTGGCTTCCTGAAACCCGACCCTGCTCAATTGAAGGGGGGGGGAAGGAACTGGCAACTGCTACCCAGTCTGGCTTCATCCTCAAGTGTGCCAGCCCAGGGTGGGTGGTCCCAGATGAGGCTGGTTGGCAATGAAGAGAAGCTTGGGCTGGGGTACTGGCAGGAAACCCAGGCTCCTGTGGCAGCCTGTGGGCAACTGCTCCCTCTCCTGGGTGATGTAAGTCACTCCCTGGGGGTGGGGGCTGCTGGGCTATTTCTGGAAGTTGGGATGAGGCGCGTCTCCTGGCAACATGGATGCTGCTGAGTTGGTGGTGGTGTGATGGAGAAGGGGATGTCATCTTAGCTGGAGGAGGGGACCCTGACGCGCGTTCTGAGCCGCATCCCAGGCCTTTCATAGCACCACAAAGCAGGTTTCACGTGGATTTACAGGGGCTGGGGGCCAGGTCACGGGGAGGGGATTGGTGGCCCAGATTCTTGCAGAGTGGGATGTCACTGGCGGCATCTGGTCTTGCAAACCCCAGTATGCTCATTCTATTTTAAGGGCTCCCCAAAATGTATGGGAGGTTTCTGCAAGACTTTTTCAGTCCTTGCTTTTCACAGCCTCTGATGGGGAAGCAGACAGGCCTTTCTAGAGGTCTCAGGACACAAGTCAGTGATTCTATTAGAGACCCTCATCACCCCCCAGACTCCCCAGCACTCCCTGACCATCGAAGCACCTTCCCCATGCCTTTCAGCGATGTGCTCAGTCACCAGTCTCCCTCAGACCTTTCAACGACCACCCTCTGGTCGTCAATCATGATTTTCGGGTGTCCTTATCCCAGAAAAGACCCCTTTCACCTCTCCACGACTCCCCTGAGCACTCCATACCCCCCAGACGCTTCGGATACTTAGTGCTCCGTGGTAAACGTTCTCAGTCCCAACCAACAACCTAGGACTCCCTCAGGCTGTAGCCCGGATCCCTGGATCCCTCAATACTCCCATGGAAGTTGCCCACGTGCGACCCACTGCGCATGGCCCACGGGTTTTGGCCGTTAACTAACCGCCGCTATGTCACCCCGCTTCATTGTCCTGGTGGGCATCTTGGTCCACTTGGATACCCCAGATTTGAGGGCTTGACTCAGATTTTTACTTTATGCCTCTGAGTGGCCGTCAGAGGGCACCAGGCACCACTAGGTTCGAAAACTACGACTCCCAGAAACACCCGCTCCGAACTGTGTGCCATGTGGCCGCAATCGCCGAGCAAGGAGCGGAAGTGCAGTCGCGCTTTGCCTTCTGGATAATGTAGTCCGAGGAGCCTAGTGTTCCTGTCGGTCTTACCCTAGGCCCTGCGTCTTCTGGGCCCATCAGTCATCCCCACTTGCTGTGACTTAAAAGATCCCACTTTCAGACTTTTAAGAAAGGCAGTACAGACGAACCCAGGGTCAGGTTAAAGTGAAGTCTAGAAACTCCATTCCCATCAGGCTGCGAGGCAGATGAGCGCGAAGGGGAGGTTTCATTTTAATCCCAAGCACTTCCGGGCTTCCCCCACCCCGCCCCATTTAATTGATAAATGGACAACATAATGCGTGCACAAATCCCAAGCCTCCGCCTAGCGAACGCTACCCCACCTTTAACGCTCCAGGATCCCGTAATTTAGGAACTGGAGGACGCCGAAATTCGCAAGTGGATTCAATACCGCAATTCTATTTCCTTGTTGGACAATTTCGTTTCATTCATCTGGTGTAAACCACATTGCTAGAAAAGAAGAAATTGCCTCCCGAGGCTGTAGTGTTGTGAGACGCCGCCGGAAGTTTCCCAGATCATTCCCGGGGAGTGGGGGCGGCATTTCCTTCCCTATCTGTGTCACTTGCGACTTGAATGTTTGGATTTATTTTCCGGTGGTCCCCTGTGGCTCTTAAATCTGAGGGCCGTGAGGAAGGAACTGAAAAATACTTCAGTCTCCCCCCCGGGGACTTCTGTTTTCCACCTTGAGCGCACTCTCGCCACAGGTACCCTCGGACTTTACTTTCTGGCAAAACTCCGCCGTCTCGATTCACAAAGGGCCGCGATCCGGTCCGGGGTATTCCCTAGCACGCGTCGGACGCCGAGCAGTAACAACGGGTCGGGTTCCTCGGACTCCATTTCCCAGAAGACACTAGGGGCGTGCTCCGGAGCCGCCGCGCCGAAGCCTTGGTGTAGACTACATTTCCCGGCGGGGCTGCGGCCAGGCGTGCGAAGAAGGCGGTGCGCCAGCCTCGCTCCATTTCCTAGCCGAGCTCCAAAACTGCCGTAAAGGGGCCGGAGGCTCACACGGGGACTCCATTTCCCGGCGTGCCTTGAGAGCCGTTTCACACCCGCAATGCGGTGAGGGCGTGGCGACGACTCCATTTCCCGGCTTGCCTCGCGGCCCTACAATTGTCGTTCCACGGGCGCAGACTCAGTTTCCCAGCGTGCAGCCGGCACCGGTGGCCTACCACAGCCAATCGGCTAAGGGAGCGACCGAACTCCATTTCCCGGCGTGCCTAGGGCCCGGGGAGCCCGCGGACGAGTGGCTGCTACGCGGAAGCGCATCAAGGCGCCCGCTGTGGCCGCAGTGGAGTGAGCGGTCGCTCCCGATTCCGCTTCCCCAAGCGCTTCGGGGTCCAGTCGTTGCACAGCGGGCCGGTTCATTGACCAGGACTCCATTTCCCGACCTGCAGTGCGACTCGACGCCCCGCCCCACGAGCGCGTCCGCGGCCGTCGCGGACTTCATTTCCCGGAGTGCCACGCGGCTCTCCGTGCGGGCTGCGGGCGGCGACGGCGGCGCGCAGGGCAGGCGGACTGCATCTCCCGGCGTGCCCCGCGGCGGGCGCTGGGCCGCAGCCGGAGCCCGAGCCCGAGCGGCGCGGCCTGGGAAAGGCCGGAGCCCGGGGGAGGCGGCGGCAGCAGCGGCGGCGGGGGCAGCCCGAGCCCCGCGGCCTGGGCCTACGCTCGGCGCCATGAGCGGCGGCGGGCCTTCGGCGGGCGGCCCTGGGGGCTCGGGACGGGCGCGAACGAGTTCGTTCGCAGAGCCTGGTGGCGGAGGCGGCAGTGGCGGCGGCGGCGGCGGCGGTGGCGGCCCGGGGGGTTCGTCCTCCGGCCCAGTCGGTAGCAGCAGCGGCGGGAAGGCGTCGGTCGGAGCCATGGGTGGGGGAGTGGTGACCGCGGTCTCCGGGGGTGGCCCCAGCGGCAGCGGCGGAGGAGGCAGCGGCGGCCCTGGCGCGGGGACCAGCTTCCCGCCGCCTGGAGT